GACTGGAGACTTGGTGGTGCTTTGAGTGTGAGATGAGTATGTCCGATTTTGTGTTTCCTAGTAATTCTGGGTTTCCAGTGAACATCCAGGCACAGTTGCTGAGCTCCTGGTGTATGCCTTGGTCCAAGGCTCAGCCAAGCTGATTCTTGCCTGTTTTCCCAGAGCCCCGTAGGGCCAAACACTGAGGAGGTCTCAGCATTGGCTAAATGCACAAATGAAGGAAGGTGGGGGACCAGCTGTCAGCCCCTGGTAGGAAGATGGAGCAGGGCTGCCTGATTTCTTCTTATCTTCTTTGTCTGTCCACAGAGAGTACACCTGGACATCCAGGTGGGGGAACACGCCAACGACTATGCAGAAATTGCTGCCAAAGACAAGCTGAGTGAGTTGCAGCTCCGGGTGAGACAGCTGGTGGAGCAGGTGGAGCAGATCCAGAAAGAGCAGAACTACCAACGGGTATGTCGGGCAGGAGCTTCTGCGTGGGCTTCATCCCAGATGCCTTCCCCTGGCTCAGCCAGAAGTTGCATGCTGGTCGGATTCACTTTGAAACCCAAGGGACTTACCTGTCTATGCCACTCTGCAAGTCTAAAAGGCGGGGTGGGTACCACTTACTCCCGTTTGTAACCAAGGAGATAGGCTCTTAAGAGGCTGTCATTGCTCTAAATCACAGTGACACATGCCCAGTGACAAGAGCGGGAATTGATGCTAATACCATGGGTGTTATTTCCGTGGCTCCAGGTGCTTCTAGGACCAGCTATTTCATACTCACTTGTGTCGGGGAAGCAGGATGGGACCATGAATGAATCTGTGACAATGAGGACTATTACGTGTCTAAGCCTCAGGGACCTCAAGTTAATTGTCAGCTGAGGGCAGCGTTGCAGATAATGTTAGCCCTGGGTTTTAAGAGAAGCAATGTGAATTTTTCCGGGTTTTAAATATTGGCAAAACACATGTATGTGCCAGATGCCACCACGGGGCTACCAGTTTGCAGCTTGTGCCCATAATCCTCAAGGAGCAGCTAGGGAGAGCTGGGCAGAGAGATCAGAGCAAGTCCACTCCTAAGTGCTAGAGGACAGCTCTGTCTGATGGAGTGATACTGCAACTACTTTACCTCTCTGCCAAGCTCCAGGATAGGACCAGCAGAGTGCTGTCCCTGACAGAGGAGCAGACAGACTTAAATGAGTGGGTTCCCTGAGGCCCTCTGGCTGGGGAGGATGAAAGCAGTCCCCAGGTGGGCGGTCTCTTTGACTCTTTGCAGGTACTTGACTGGAACCTGAGCAGAGCTGGTTGGCCCTGGGCACCCTCTGGGAAGGGAATCCAGCAGTTAAAGTGGCGCCTGGTGGGGCCCAGCGAACTTGAGCTCCTCTTCCCTTCTCCTGCAGTGGCGAGAGGAGCGCTTCCGGCAGACCAGCGAGAGCACCAACCAGCGGGTGCTGTGGTGGTCCATCCTGCAGACCCTCATCCTCGTAGCCATCGGCGTCTGGCAGATGCGACACCTCAAAAGCTTCTTTGAAGCAAAGAAGCTAGTGTAGCCATCACAGGCCTCACAGGCCATCCTTCCTCCCGGGCTGGGGGAGAAAGGGCCTCCTGGAACTGATTTCTCTCTGGCAGGAGGACTGGTTCCGAGCCGTGGATATCTGGAGGGGAGAGGGGCTACGGGCACCCCAGGCACAAGCTTAGGGCAGTGGCTTGGCTGGCTGATACCGAGCAGGTGGTGGGCCAGTGCCTGCCCCCTCCCCCGGGATCTGAGCCCTTTGCAGTAATCACTCAGGGGCCAAGCCACTGGGAGCCCCGTTGGCACCTCAGAATCACAGTGTTACTGATCAGGGACATGAGGCTGTTGTCTGGGGTGGCTGGGGGAGGGGAGCGGGTGGGCGAGCCAGTCTTTTTTTCTGTCTTCCTTTGCTAACGTGGGATTTTGAGCAGGTTGGGGTGTGGCTGTGATTCCCTGCCACCCTGTGAACCTCACTATACCCTCCTTGGGCCCAGACTGCTGATCCAGGATGTGTGTGTCAATGGAGGGGAGGGGTGGAGGGGGTTGCAGTGTGGGGAAAGTAGCCCTGAGGTTGACCTCAGCTTCTCAAATTGGTTGTCCTTTTGGGGGCTTGAGGAACTGGGGTCAAGCCAAGCAGAGGCCTTGGTGCTGGTTGGGGATGGGGCCTGCAGCGTCTTAGTTACTGATTTCATTTTCAATAAGTCTAGGTTTGTTACATTGGTTTCCCAATTAAAAAAAAAAAAGTGACTTCTCGTCCAGTGTAGTTACTATAGTGGCCGTAACATGGAGGTACTCAGGGAGTGTCAGTTCTGCCACTGTGTACCTCACGTTCCAAGATGAAAATCCACCTGGGAACTTGGGTCCTCTTAGCCTCTCTCCACCGTCCCGCAGCAGGGGATAGTGGGTCTGCCCAAGACTATAAAACAAGTGACTCGTGGGCTTGGTGCTCAGATTTACATCATTTTCCTCTGTGTCCGCTCCCTTGAGATACAAGTGTTCTCCCTGCGTTTCCAGAACAGGTGGACGGCATTGTCACGGTGCTGCCAGGAGGGGCCTCATTCGTGAAGGTAGTCGGCATTGAACAGAAGAGTGCAGCAGGTTTGGGAAGGACAGAAGTCCCTGGGCTGGTGGGCGTGAGGATGTTGATGGTCTTAACCAATAGCAAGGGATTTCAGCAAGGACCTCGAAGGAGGGGAAGGATTCTGAGGTAAGGCAGAGCTGGGGAGTTGGGGGCATTGGCAAATGGAGGTCGACGGCATGGTTTCCACTGGAGTTCAGGATTTTATTTTATTTTACTTCTTTTTTAAAGATTTTATTTATTTGACAGAGATAGCAAGAGCAGGAACGCAAGCAGGGGGAGTGGGAGAGGGAGAAGCAGGCTTCCCGCCGAGCAGGGAGCCCGATGCAGGGCTCGATCCCAGGACCCCGGGGTCATGACCTGAGCCCAAGGCAGATGAGTAACGACAGCCACCCAGGCGCCCCGGGATTTTATTTGAGAGAGAGCACAAGCAGGGGGAGCGGCAGGCAGAGGGAGAAGCAGGCCCCCCAGACGCAGGACTTGATCCCAGAACCCTGGGATCAAGACCTGAGTCAAAGGCCGACTGAGCCACCCAGGCAGCCTCCGTGGAGATAAATTTGAGGAACGTTAACCCAGCAGTGTGAGAGAAAGAGATGGGGGGGGCGGGGGGACCAGTTTGCAGACTACTCGAACTGCCAGGTGGATGTGATCTGACCTCATATTGCCACCTAGACCACCTCCACATTAAAAACAAGACGCTTTTATAGAACAGCTTTGGAATTACAGAAAAATTGTATAAAATAGTTCCCCCATTATTAATGTCATGCATCAGTTTGGCACATTTGTTAGGAAACAATATCGATACATTATTTTTCACTGAAGTCCATACCGTATGTAGATTTCCTTAGCCATTGCCTAAGCCTTTTGTTTGTGTGTTTCAGGATCCCATCCAGGATACCACATTACATTTAGCCCCTTCTTCGCTGTGACAGTTTCTCAGAATTACCTTGCTTATTATTACCTTGACAGTTTAGGAGTACAGTTCAGGTTTTTTGTAGAATGTTCCTCAGTTGGGATTTGTCTGGTATTTCATGATTAGACTGGAGTTCTGAGTTTGAAAGAAAGACCAAAAATGTGCCATTCTCATTCCATCATATCTATGGTGCTGATTATCAACATGACTGTGGGTGTCACCGTTTGAAATTAATTTTTATGTGAAATCTGATTTCTTGAGACAAATCAGATCTGACACTAGTGGGGCTTCATTCTGATGTGACAATTAGCTGGACCGAATCGAGCTGTCCCCTTGAGGTGGGTTTGTGCTTTCAGATCACAGCCCCACCTCCCTGCTTCTGTCACTGGCCTTACTGGACTGGTCTCTGTAGGGGGTCAGCCTCAGCCTCCCCTGTGTCATCAGCGAACCTAGGCTGCGTTTGCCAAGGCTCTGTTCTAGGGTGCAGTGCAATGGCAGAGTTTAGTAGCGAGGTCCCTGGTGGGTATATGCTGGGTTTAAGGGAGAAAGGGGGCTGCTGGGGTGACTAAATTCCTCACCGACAGTAAAGTCCTTTTGGAAGCAGGAACTGCAACCAAGGTATCTTGGTTTACACCCTGAATTGCCTCTCTCTGCCCCAGTTTTTTAAGTGGGCAGAAGTACGCTACTCGTAAGGACTGAATGAGAGAACGGGAGTAAAGAATTTAGAACCATGCCTGGCACCTAGTAAGCACTCAGTAGATGTTAGCTATTTATTAGGGAACTTCACATTTGCCTAAGAGCAGGGGAGATCAAGCCCCACGAGCTCTGTTCCTGGCTCTTCCCAGGTGGGAGGCTGGCCCAACCGGGTAAGTTCCCACTGTGCCAGGGAAGATAAGTATAAGAACTTCGTCTTATACTCCCCCTTCAGTGTTCACCTCAACTCCAACAAAGTGTCCCCCTCCTGCATAGTAACTGTCACTGACATCGGGTTGACTATATGCCCAGCACCTACCAAGTATGTTGGCCTGTCCTCCTTCAACCCAAGCAACCACGTCGATCAGGGACTATTTAAACACGCAAGTGAGGAAACATTTGCAAGGGGATGGTGCCTTGCCCCCTAGGGCTTGGGGTCTCTGCTGGGCCCGAGGCTGAGCCCCGAGCCTGAGCCCCGAGCCTGGCCTTGCCCTACTCCTGGCTTGCTGCGGAGGAAGAATGCACCAGCAACTGGGGCCGGGAAGAGGAGGAGGGTGCGGATCGTCATCCCAGAGCGCCAGTTTGGAAGCCTGGAGTCTAAGTCCAGCACCGGCCCAGTGACTTGAGCCCCCTGCGGGCTCTCGGTTTCTCGGGAGAACAAGCGGGTCCCCCCCTCAGGGCAGTTGAACCGTCCGGCGGTGGGAGCGCTCGGGCGTTCCTCGCACGCGGAACCTTCCACGCGGCGGCTTGGGGGAGCGGACGGCGCGGCTGGAGCGGCGGACCCGGCGGACCCGGCGGACCGGGGGGCGGGGCGGACGGGGCGGGGCCGGAGGCGGAGGCGCCGCGTAGGCCCGGGAGGCCGGGCCGGCCGGGCTGGGAGCTCGAGTCCCATGCGCCGCCGCCTCCCCCCACGATGTTCCCCTCCCGGAGAAAAGCGGCGCAGCTGCCCTGGGAGGACGGCAGGTGAGCGGCGGCGGCCGGCCCGGGCCCCGTCCTCCCGGGTGCCGATCCTTTCCGGGCCGCCCCGCGGAATCTAGGAGCCCGAGGCCGTCGCGTCCCCGTCTGCGGGGCTTCCTGAGGGTCTGTGGTTCTCCTTGTGGGTCCCTGTCTCTCTGGGTCCGGGTCGCCGTCTCTCCGTGTGGGTCTCTGTTTCTCGCGGTCTCCGTCGCTCCGCAGGTCTCCGTCCCTCCGCGGGTCTGTATTTCTCCGGTGACTTCTCCTTGTGAGTTTCTGTCCCTCGCTTTGCGAGGCTCTGTCTCTCCGCTCCGTGTCGCTCTTTGTGTCTGTGTTTTTCCACTGGCGTCTGTCTTCGTGCGGGTCTCTGACTCCATTGACCTCTCCCCCGTGGATCTCTTTCTGTCTGCCCCTGGCCCCTGAGGGTCGTTCTGCCTTGTCTCTGGTCTCCCGCTTCCCCCCTTCACGTCCATGTAGCCTCATACCCTACCCTCTCTCACGCTTCCGCAGCTTTTGCTGACCGCCCAGAAGCTTTTCCGACCAGACCGAAGCTCTGGATGCTGTGCCTGGCAGGCCCCTGCCTGGCACGTACTAGGCACTCTGCACACGTAATGCTGGTTCATTTCCGGTGCAGCTGTACTCGAGTGGGACCTGCTCCATGGGTTAGGTGTGAGCTGGATCCAGACCTTAGCTAGTGATGTTCTCCACTAAAGCAGAATCAGGGTAGGGGAGCCATTTGCCCATCTAGATTTGGGGGGACACCCACACTTCATTCTTAAGATGTGCCCGCAAAACTCTTCTCACCCAGAACACCGGATAGCGGGTCTCCAGAGACCCAGTGAATGACACCTCATTCCCTGTATGTCTCTTGAGTTTGCCAGGTGCCAAAAGATTCTGAAATATAGTGGGCACAACTCTTTCGTTTGGGGATTTTTCCGACTTGGTGTTGAAGTCGGAAGACAGGAATATAAGAGAAGGAAAGCCTGGATAGTGGAGTCAGCCCTGGGCGGCAATCCTCTTTAATAGCCATGTGACCCAGAACAGATCACTAAATCTTTCTGACCTCAGCTTTTCCATCTCTGAAACGGGGATCATAATATCTACTCTGCAGGGCTGCATGAGGATTAAAAGAGATCACATCCGTAAAGCTCTTGACACTGTGCCTTGCACAGAGGAGGTGTCTAATAGGTCCCTTTGCATTTGGGAAGTGCTGTTAACCAGAGCAGCTGATATTCAAACCTGTATCACTAAGATTTGTGTAAGGAAAGAGAGGAAAGGTAATGGAGGAGAAGTTCCATTTCCTGATCCCTTTCCATAAACCTTTGGAACATACCTGTGTTCCCACAGGGGGTTCAAAGGTCCATGCAACCGATGCAGGCTAGTGTAGCAATCGAGAGTGCTGGCTCTGGAGCCAGCCTGCCTAGATTTGAATCTGCCTTTTCTAGCCTTGGGCACAGAGTGATGGAGACAAAAAAACCTCCTCTGGTCTGCCCCTCAGAGCAGGGTGCCCCGGGGCCTGGGAGCCGCTGGGCCTGCAGATCTGGAGTTTGCCACCAGGTGGCGCCAGGAGCTCCCAGTGTCCACTTGTCCTGAGGAATTGAGATTTGGTTCTGAATTTAGTTGCTCAGCGATTTGGGCCCTTAGAGCCCAAAGGATAGGATTGCCTATGAGAACGTGATCCTGGAAAGGGAAGCTGGACTGAAGGAACAGCCTGTGAAGTTGCACAGAGTGCCCAAGCCATGCCAAAGCCCCGGATAACGGTCACTGCTTCTTTTCCCAAAGGTGGGATGTTTCTTCATGTCCGTATTCCCGGTCTCCATCCCACCCCGAGAGAGAGCCCCGAGGGCGAAAGAGAATCTGTAGAGGTTCCAGCCTTCCCAAGCCACTGGCAGGATTGGGCTCCGCTCCTCCCCAGCGGAGAGCCCTATCACAGGACAATGGGGGGTAAGTCAGAAGCCCTGTCTTACCTGGCCACCTCTCTGCTGTGTGTGGGACCTGGCTGCAGGGCTGCTGGCTTCCAGGTTGTGCTCTAGAGAAAGTCAGGAGCTGGTCTGGCTCTGGTGTGTGACTTAAAGCATGTCCCTGACAGCTTGAACCTTTCCTGTGACTCGCCTAGCAAGCCCTCTGTTGTTTAAACTGGGGCCGCAGGCAGAAACTGATGACCTGCAGGGGAAGACAGCGAGCAGGGACACAAGTGATTGCAGAGACACAAGTGATTACAGATAAGAGCTCTGAGGAGGGAAGGCCCAGAGGCCATGGAGGGAGTGCTCTATCAGTTTGTGCGCACGTTGAGGGGTTGGCCCTGCGGGCCCCGGCGTTGGAATGGAGGGAGAGGGACGGTGCTGGCCATGACATGGGAGGTTGGCCCCAGAGGATCAGCAGCGGGCTTCCAGGCAGATAAAATAAGGAAGGGCACGGCAGACTGTGTGAGGGCTGGAGCAGGAAGGACTATGGTGAGTGGCGAAGCTCTGGGTTATCCCACGCGTGCCCTGGGTGAGTGGTAGGGAGCAACTCAGGTCGAATTTGTGCCGCCTGCCAGCTAACTGGTGACTCCTAAAGGCAATAAAGCCAAGTGTTTTGCAGGTTATTGCAGGGGGAGTAGATTGAGGAAGCTTGCTTTTTCTTAGGTTGCTCAGCTCCTTCGCTATCCTCAGCAAAGGGATCAGGTGAATCCCACCTTCCTAACCTAGAGAGCAGCCTCTCCAAGCACTCCCTCAGTGTCCAGGCCATTCAGTGGCGCTGGCCGCTTCTAAACCCAGCCTGGGTTCCATTCCCGGCATGCATCTTCCTTTCCCTCTTCCGTCTCTCATCTCTTGTCTCACGGGCTGCCCCTTGGACTGAAGCTTTGAGACTCGTTCAGTGAACTGCCACTGGCCATTTGGGCCTTGTGTTGTTTTGGAGGCAGATCCGATCTTCCCAGCGTCAACTCAGGTCTCTTCCCTGGGACAGATATCGGCCCCGGCCCCGGCCCCTGCCTTAGGGGCCTTTCTGGTGTGAGAAGCAGGATGAAGTCAAGGTTTCATCTAGGGGTAAACCGACAGGGGAGCGCGGTTGGAAGGCAGCAGATGGGACCTCTAAGGCGGCACTCCTTCCGTTGGCTCGAGCTTTGGACCTCCAGCCATTATCCTGGGGAGGGGCAGGTACAAGGCACAAGGAGTCTCATCCCTGACCTCCAGCAGCTCTTGGTCTGACCTGGACTCACTCACAGAAAGTAAAGGGATGTGAAGGAACTGGGGCAGCTCTGCCCCGGGGATAGAGGGCTTCCTGGAGGTGGCGTGACAGAGGCTGGGCCCAGAGCAGTGAGCAGGATTCTGATGCGAGGTAGCAGCATGAACAAAAGCATTCAAGTGTTGGCTTCTGCACTAACTCCCAGGTGCTTGGGGCAGACCGGTCCTGTGTGCCCCACTTGGGGGGAAGCCAGAGGAGGGGCCTGTCAGAGGGCCCCCGGCGCCACCCGCCCTCCTGACCCTGTCCCTGCTCTTGTCCCAGGTCCAGGTTGCTGCCCGGCGGCCTCCCTCGGAAGTGCTCCGTCTTCCACCTCTTCGTTGCCTGTCTCTTACTGGGCTTCCTCTCCCTGCTCTGGCTGCAACTCAGCTGCTCCGGTGACGTGGCCCGGGCAGCCAGGGGACAAGGGCAGGAGACCCCAGGCCCACCCCGGTCCTGCCCCCCAGAGCCACCTCCTGAGCACTGGGAAGAAGACTCATCCTGGGGCCCCCACCGCCTGGCCGTGCTGGTGCCCTTCCGTGAACGCTTTGAGGAGCTCCTGGTCTTTGTGCCCCACATGCACCGCTTCCTGAGCAGGAAGAAGATCCAGCACCACATCTATGTGCTCAACCAGGTGGACCACTTCAGGTAGGGGTGGCCTCCTGATTCAGCAGGCCCTCTCCAGATCCTCACCTTGCCCTGGCCCCTCGGGCTCCTCCCTTTCCCACAGGAGTCCCATGCCAGGGGGGCGGTCTCTGGCCTGTGAAAGCCCCCCCCCCATCCCTGGGGAGCAGTGGCGGCTGGGGCGGGGGGAGCAGTAATCTTTTTTTAAAAGGATTTGTTTATTTATTTGAGAGACAGAAAGAACGAGCAGGTGGGAGGGGCAGAGGGAGAGAGAGAATCTCAAGCGGACTCCCCACTGAGCGCAGAGCCCGACGCGGGGCTCGATCTTACCACCCTGAGATCATCACCTGAGCCGAAACCAAGAGTCGGACACTTAACTGCCTGAGCCCCCCCCCCAGGTTCCCCGATATCCATTTTGCAAAGATGACCACAGCTCCTGTATGAGGAATAGCTTTTACCTGGACACCAGAGGGGTGCTGGGGGTCAGAGGTGAGGGTGTCTTGGCTCTGGAGGAGATGTGGTGGGGAGGAGCTTTCTAGTGGATTGGCTCTAGGTATTCAGGGAAGGGCTGGTCAAGACCACAGCTTCGAAGCTTCTCTGGTGTTACCCTGAGGTCATCGCCCTTTACCATGCCTCGCTCCGCTGGGACGGGTCCAAAGGTTCTGGGGCCCCACCCGGCCCTTTAGGCCACAGTTGCCCCGGTTTTCACAGCCCACCCTCCTGGTCCTCACTGTCTCCTCCCCCAGCTTGGATTCCACAGTCCATCGGTAGCATCAGTCCTTCGGCCCGTGGGCCACAGAATGTGGCTAGAGAGGTGGCTGGTCTTCCTGGCAGTGGAGGGCCTGCCTGGAGCCCCGCATTCCTCTGGCCTGCTGCCTCTCCGCTCTCTGATGCAGCTCTGCCCCCTCTCTTCTCTCCCTCCTCCTCCTCCTCAGCCTCGGCTGATGACTTTGCTTCCTGTGTGAGGAAACAGAACCAGCTGGAAGAGAGCGTGCCCTGGTGCCCACCGGCCTAGGCGCCCGCCATGCCGGGAATGCCCTGTCCCAGCCCCTCCACTTGGGCCCCCGATCCCCTTCTCACTGTGCTGTTCAAGGACATGGCTTTAGCCACGGCTCCTTTCTCGCCCGCACCAATGGGCACCCGCTGCAGATGCCCACTGAGATAGCGCCCAATTAAAAAAGACAAGACCCCGTGACCTCCCATCACCATTTCTCTGCTCCCCTTTGTAGCAGAACCCCCCCCTCACGCTCTCTGGAACCTACTCTGTTCCAGCATTTACCCCCATCATGACATGGAGGCAGCTCTCAGGGATACCACCAGCGAGCCCCAGTGAGCCCACCGCCATGCCCCGAAGCCTCCCCTCCTTGACCTCTCGAGTTGGTGCTCTTGGGGCTCAGCGCCTCAGCATCCTCTTTTCTGGCTCCAGTCACTCCCTGGGGGTTTTCGGTGGGTCTCAGGGCGCTAAACCCCACCCGTACCCTGCTGACACCCGCCCCCCCCCCCGTCTGTATTCTCCTGACCGCCAGACCCGCACGTGCAACCACCTGCGTCACCCTCCTTCTGGGGGTGTCGGGCAGCCCAGGCTTAACATGATCAAAACCACATTTCTGATTTCCCACCCGCCCCCCATTCCCCATTTCAGGAGCTGCCCGCTCCTCGCTTCTGCTTGCTCAGGCCAGAAAGCCTCAGAATCATTCTCAACCCCTCTCTTTCCCTCACGCGGTGCATCCCGACCTTCAGAATACATCTAGAACTTGCCCCCTTCTCACCGCCCCTCTGAGCTAAATCACTACTGTCTCCTGCCTAAATTAGTGTAGGAGCCTCCCAACCCGACTGCCTGCTCCCGCCCCTGAGCCTCCCGTCTCTTCCCAACACCCCAGCTGTCGTGACCCCGTTACACACCAAGACACAGCACGTCCTGCCCCTGCTTCGAGCCCATGGCTCCTGCGTCTTCCTGCGGGTCACAGCCCCAACCTGCCAGGCCCCCCTCCCCCCACCGCATCCCTTAAGCCCTCCTCGGTCCCTCTGCTCCTGCCTCAGGCCTTGTCGGTTGCTTTCACCTCTGCTCGGAGCCCCATCCCCTCCACTCCTCTCCCCTGCCACCCTGTTATCCTGCCCCCCATCGCCCTTGTCTGAAAGAACACCGCCCCGCCCCCCAGCGGGCTCCCCCTTCCTCGCCCTGCTGCTCTTTCCTCCGCGGCTCACCAGGGTCTGGCTGGGCACATACTTATTTTTCTCCCTTCTTATAAGCATGTCAGCTCCCAGAAGACAGGGCTTTGATTTCTCAGTGCGGGCACTGCAGTGATCCGGGCGGTTTCCGGCACATGGTGGGGGCTCGGTGGACCTGTGTGAGCTGAGCCCGGGGGGGGGGGGGGGGCGCAGGCGTGCAGCCGGGCAGCCCCCCCCCCCAGGGAAGGCGGCGTCGGGCGCCGGGCCGCGTGCTGCGGAATACAGGCTCCCACTCACCGTCTGCGGGGAGAGCAAGCCCCGCCCCCCGCCCGCTCAGCCTCGGCCAACCCCCTCCCTGCGCAGGTTCAACCGCGCGGCCCTCATCAACGTGGGCTTCCTGGAGACCAGCAACAGCACGGACTACATCGCCATGCACGACGTGGACCTGCTGCCCCTCAACGAGGAGCTGGACTACGGCTTCCCCGAGGCCGGGCCCTTCCACGTGGCCTCCCCGGAGCTGCACCCCCTCTACCACTACAAGACCTACGTGGGCGGCATCCTGCTGCTCTCCAAGCAGCACTACCAGCTGGTGAGGCCCAGAGCCAGGGGGCGCCCGCCTGCGGGAACCCGGAAGCAGCCCACCACATGGGAGACTCGGTTAGGGAGGCCGGGAGCGGGAGCCCCGGTAACAGCTGGCTTCAGAACAGAACACTGGGGGTGGGAGGGGGGCCGGCTCCTTGGCTCTCAGACTGCACGGGTTTGGGCGGGGCCGGGGGACGGTCTGGCTTCAGGAGCGGCTGGCCCAGCCTCTCAGACGAGGGTCCCCCAACACCATCTCATGCGCCATCTCTCAGCTCGGCTTTCTCGGCGGAGTGGATTTATTTTCAGACACTCGAGCGGTAGGGTGCTTGTCGTACCTGCGCCCCGCGCCCACCTAGGCCCAGGTTCAGTGGAAGATGAAGTACCTTCCCCAGCAACCCAGACAGGAGTCCCAGAACTGCATCTTGCTGCCTCTTGATTTGCCTGACTTGAGTCAGGGGCCCACCCCGAGTCAGGGGCTGTGGCTGGAGGTCGGCGGGGGGTTGGGGGGGGGATGGACCAAGTGGCTTAGACCCCCGTTTCTTGCACCTCTCTTCAGGCTGTGGCTGAAGCCAGCTTTATGTAAATGAAGCTCCAGGTCGGGTGGCAGACAACGGTGCTGCCGCAGAGCCCAGCTGTCCCCGTCCCCCCAGGGAGAGACCAGGGCAGAGCGTGCCCGGGAGAAGCGGGGGCATGGGGCAGGCAGAAGTCAAGCATGAGCTGGCACTTCTGCCCATCACCAGCTCCCCGGAGAGGTGCCCTCCTGCCAGCCAGACCTTTTTAAGAAACTGGTCATCTCACACAAGTTCAGGGCCCCATTAGAACAGGCAGAAGGACTGGGTGTCCATTCGACCCTCCACGGGGCCGGGGGGGGGGGGGGGGGGGGGGGGGGGGCCTTGGCAGACTCCCAAGTGGTAGGAGACCAGGGAGTGCCCCCAGGAGGATGGGGCACGTGACACTCCCTGTCTCTATTAGTGCAACGGGATGTCCAACCGCTTCTGGGGCTGGGGCCGTGAAGACGACGAGTTCTACCGCCGCATCAAAGGGGCCGGGCTGCAGGTAATGCCCCCCCCCAAGGGCTCCCCCCCTCCTCAGCCATTGTGGCTGCCCTGAGGTTCCCTTCTCTGGCTCAGATGAGGTTCCTGGGGCTTGGAGATGGGCCCCCTGCCCTGCCACCGATGAGCACCCCTTTCTCCTGCCCAGTGGCAGTGCAGGCCCCTGCCTGTGGCCTTTGACCCATGGCCCATGGCAGGCGGGGGGACCCTGGAAGACTAGCGGTGAGGGCCGGAGCTCCGGGAGGGTGGCCTGACCCACCTTCCTTTGGCCTTCTTAGCTTTTCCGCCCCTCGGGAATCACAACTGGGTACAAGACATTTCGCCACCTGCATGACCCAGCCTGGCGGAAGAGGGACCAGAAGCGCATCGCCGCTCAAAAACAGGTGCTGGCTGGTCCCGATTGGGGATGCATAGGTGGTGACGTGGGGAAAGCAACAGGGCCAAGCCTTACCACCAAGCTCTCCTCGGGTCCAGATGGCCCTGTCCTCCCCTGCTTGGCCCAGCGTAGTCCCCGCTCTGGGGGCTGCCATGAGCACCTGGGTGCCGTGGGCCAGCTGAGACCTCAGGGCCCCGGGTAGGTGGGGAGCAGGGGAGGGACTCTGCTGTAGGTGCCGACTCCCAGGCAGACCTGTGACACAGGGACCACCATCCCGCACCCGGCCATATTGGCGCATCGGCTCTCTTGCTTACAGCCGTGGTGCCGCTGGGGACAGTTAGCCGCCACACAGCCCTGAGTACACGCCCTCTCCCCCTTCCCTTCCCAGGAGCAGTTCAAGGTAGACCGGGAGGGCGGCCTGAGCACTGTGAAGTACCGCGTGGATTCCCGCACGGCCCTGTTGGTGGGCGGGGCCCCCTGCACTGTCCTCAACATCCTGTTGGACTGTGACAAGGCCGCCACCCCCTGGTGCACGTTTGGTTGAGCTGGCAGGACAGTAAGGAAGCCTGTGCCCACAGGCCACACAGCTCCTCAGGCTCAGGACAAAGCCTTAGGCCCGGGGCCCGACTCCAGTAGGACGTGGAGGGGCCCAAAGCAGCGCCTAGCAAGCCACCCGCTTGCAGCAGCCCGGCCCCCCTGGGGGCAGGCTGGACCCAGGACAGGACACCCTTGGGCGCCTGGGACGCTGCCAGCAATGAACAGCAATGGAGAGAGGCTGGAACACGGCTCCCACCTGGGACCGCCCGCCCCCTTCCTGCTTGCCCTGCTCTGCCCGCCTTGGATCTGAGGGCTTTTGGTTCCTTCTCCTGGACCGCATCAGGCAGAAGCCAGGTGGCGGACATCGGTGGCCAGGCGAGCCAGAAGGTTGGAACTGCAGAAACTGGCGTGCAGGTCCCACAGGAAGGGAACTGCGGAGGCCAGCTCCTGCTGGGTGTCAACTGTGCAGGAATGTGGGCCCCGTGTTGCCGGATCATCTGATTTTTTCAAAAGAAACTAGAATTCTGGATTCTTATGTGAAATCGGGTACTTTTTAAATGCTAGCAACTAATTGAAACTTCAGAAAAGGATGGTGGGCCAGACAAAACGTGTTGTGGACCACCAGTTTGTTGCCTGTGACCAAGCGGAGGGGGATGGGGCAAAAGATGGCACCTCCCTTAGTGATGAGCTGGCAAGGGTTGGGACAGGGCTGGGGACGCCAAGGCCAGGGGAAGCTCAGGTGGGAGAGAAGCCGGACGAAGGGCGAGGTTCCTGCCACCTCCCACAGCCCTCCAGTCTTCGCTGCCCTTCTGGGCAGTCTGGTCCCTCTGGGGTCGGGGGGCTTCATCCTGCCACACAGGGATGGACAGTCCTAGATCCACAGGCCCGGACTCAGGGTAGGCAGAAGGTGCCGGCAAGGACCTGGTCGTAGCTTGGAGGTGGAAAGACCACGTTTCTGAGGTGGGAGGAAGACGACGAGAAGCAGGAGAATCCTGGGTTGTTACCACAGCATGAGGGCAGATTAGCACTGATCACACGATGTCCAGGAGAAGCAAAGGAGGGGAGCCATGGGAGACCATGGAATTGGGGAGTGACCTTGGAGGAATTACCTGCAAGGAAGCCTGGGGCCAATGAGAGTGGGAGGTGAGGGGCTCTGCAAGGTAGATCACTCCTTCAAGGCATCTGACTGCCAAAGATTTGGGCCAGAAGTCAGGAGAGTCTTGGGACCAGGGAAAATTGGTTTGTTTAACAATAAACAGGACACCTGAAATGCCAGAAGAAGGGAGTGAAGTTCCAGAGTTCGGGAGGGTGGATTCAACAGCTGTGCTCCAAAAAGACTACCTCTCTGAGGATGATCTCAGGGCTGCCGTGTACAGTTGTGGGGGTTGTGCACTGCATCACCTGAGTGCAGTGTGAGTACAATGTAACTATTCAGATGTCTAACAGAGGATCCTTGTTATCCTAAAGTGACCTCTTCCAGCAGTTCAGCTTCACTCAGCATGGTGAGGGGCGAGCATAGGGCGATGACCGTGCAAGGGCAGTGGGAGGGACTTGGTCAACTTGAGGCCCAGGAGAGGGGAGTGAAGTGCTCCCTGTGGGCCAGTCTCTCGACAACCCTGGCTGCATCATCTTGGACTTCTATAACATGGAGGCAGAACGCCAACCTCTTTGGAGTTGGTGAGACTGGACGTGCCATCGGAGCCCCAACTCGGTACTCACCTAGCACGTAGCAAGACCCGCAAGAATAGGGAGCTCCCTCCTTGCCACCTGCATGGAAGGAGGGTAGAATGAAGCAGGACCAGCTGCCTTGGCTGGGGGAGGCCCCCTACCCACTCCCGCCATGGCCACTGCCACCACCTTCCAGGAGCCCAGAGGCACCCCGGGCCAGGCCTGATGCAGCCTGAATGTGCAGCCTCCGTGCTTCTCCAGTCGGGACCTCCCCACCCACCCACCCCCACCCCTCCAGCAGAGGAGGAGGAGGGGGCTGAGCGGTGGCTAGCTCAGGGAGGAAGTAGACAGCTTGGCACCTTGGTTGCCTGCTCCACGGGGGGAGCTGACATCCTTGTCTTGCCGGCCAGAACGTGGAGGAAGGGGACCCAGGACGTAGCTGGTGTGGCATTTGGCCAACCTGGTGGCTAGAATAGCACCTAGCCCTCAGTGGGCATTAACCACAAACAGAAGTCTTGCCATTGCGTTCTCTCATGAAGCCTCTCTCTACCTAAGCTAGGTCCTAATTATTCACCTGTTCTATAGACGAGGATGAAGCATAGAGCGGTAAGTAGCTTGCCAAGGTCAGAGAGCTGATACCTGGTGGAGCTTGGGATTTGGACCCCAAGACTCCGACTTGAGAGCCAGATTCCTTCATCCCTGGCCTGTACAGCAGGTGCCAAGAGACAGATGTTCCTTTCCTTCAAGACCTTCCCTCCTCTCCCCAGCCAGAGGGGGCCAATGGGAGGGCTGGTCAATGCTGTCTGGTGCCCCTCCCACCTCTGGGACAAAAGCAGAGCCAGGGGGGCGATCCACAGTGTCTGCCCCTTGCTGCCTCTGCCTGGGGTAAGGTGGGGATTTGCCCTTTGGAGGGGTCCCTTGGGACATTGGCGGCATCCACAGCATGGCATTCTGCCTGAGGAATGTACCAGGGGCTTGGGAAGGCCTCCCCCAAAAGTCAGGGTCTTGCTGGTGGAACCACATTGCAGTCCCAATGGGAAGGGTTCCAGAGGGATCAGTAAGGACAAGGCAGAAACACACCGGGGACAGCGTGTCATGTTGAGGGACCTGGAAGCAGTTCATGGTGTCCCTGGTACCCTGATGTGGTGTAGGAGTCGGGGGAGGTGGGCAGCAGAGGGAAGGCTAAGGTGACCCCTGAGGACCTGGGAAGGCCCCACTGAGCAACATGTACATTATTCCGTGGGCGCAGGGGTTTCAAGCAAGGGAGAGTTTCTGAGCAGGGAGACATATGGTTGGGTCTGTGTTACAGAAAGATCCTTTGGGATCTAACACCCCGCCAGTCCGGGGGGGTGGAGGATGGAGTCTGAGGGAGGGATAGCTTAGGCTGAACAAGACACGATGAAGCCAGACTGAGGCCAAACAAACAAGGACACTAGAAGAACTTAAGGCCACTGGCACCTAAAGCTACAGGAACCATTAAATTGGTCCAACTCCTAGCCAGACTAACATCAAACTTCACATTAAAGGTTTATATCAGTCCCTTTATCTGATAAATCATGCATTACAAGCCTTGCAAAAAAGCAAGAAAAAAAAAAAAACAGACTGAAAAAAGAGCAAGAATCAGAACCAAACTCAGATATGACACAGAGTATGGAATTACAGATAGGAAATTTAAAATAACTATGACATATGTTAAGGGCTTGGGATATTATGATTTGTCAGAAATATATGTTTGGTCATTCAGATGACCAAAATATATTTCTTGTCATATATTTGGTCTTCATCCATGGTTCTTGGCTCACAGCTCATAAAAACCCTTGGCATTTCCTCAGTAATAAGAGCAATGGGATCATCTTTGGTTATAATATTTGGTCTCTTGTCCTCAGTTCTGGAAATCACTTGAGAGCCATAAAGGTGAAATGGGTGTCTTGTTATTCATTATAAGCCCCTTTATACTACAACTGAGTTTATCGGTCTTTTTTTCTAAGATTTATTTATTCATTTTAGAGAGAAAGAGAAAGTGCACAAGCAGGGGGAGGGGCAGCAGGAGAGGGAGAGAGAGAGAATCTCAAGCAGATTCAGTGCTGAGCTCATGGCCTGAGCCAAAACCAAGAGTCAGACGCTCAACTGACTGAGCCACCCAGGTGCCCCTCATTTTTAGCTTGAATAATTTGTGTGTGTGTGTGCACGTTCTTTAGGATTTTCTATATATGGGATTATGTAATATGTAAATAGAAATAGTTTTTCTTCTTTTCCAATATAGATGCCTTTAATTTCTTTTTATTGCCTACTTGCCATGGCTAGAACCTCCAGTACAATGTTGAATAGAAGTGATAAGAGCAGACATCCTTGTTTTTTTCTTGATCTTAGGGAGAAAGCTTTGTGTTTCAACATCAAGTATGATGTTAGCCCTGTGGTTTTTGTAGATATCCTTCAACAGGTTGAGGGAGTTCCCTTATATTTCAAATTTTTTGAGTGTGTTTATCATGAAGGATGTTGAATTTTGTGAAATGTTTTCTCTGCATCTATTGAGATGATGATCATGTGGTTTTTGTCCTTTATTGATATGGTATATTGCATAATTGATTTTTAGATATTAAACGAACCTTTATTCTTTTTATTTTATTTTATTTATTTTTTAATAATTTTTTATTGTTATGTTAACCACCATACATTACATCATTAGTTTTTGATGCAGTGTTCCATGATTCATTGTTTGTGCATAACACCCAGT